ATTATATAACTACATCATAAGATTATTGGACTTATTATATTATAAGTATATGAAAAAATATCTATCCCCGTGCATCAAATGTAAAGAAAAGCTTCCTTCAAAAATTTGGACATAAAGAGAAACTTCATACTTTGGGGAAATGTTATAGTCCGTTGCGGTATCATCCTGTCGGGTATTTTAACTAACTACATGTGTATTTAACGGTTAAAACACTCGACGGGATGGTACCGTAACGAGACCGTAACATTTCTCCCCGTACTTTAACTTTTTTTTTTGGTACATTTATAGCTCTAATCAATATTATAACTGTATTGGAACCCTCACCTAGAATAGTACCTCAAATTTTTCTGATTATTTAATGGCTAAATATCAAATTTTAAAGTAATTATATACGTAATAGTATTTTTGTTCCAAATATTTGGGAAAGGATAAATCAGTACACGTGTAGTCTCCCCACCTCCAAATGCCATAGCGCTGTACCAGCAACAATAACTATATGGAAATAGAAAAATATTGAAAAGATCATCTTTATCGTAAACGGTAAAGCACACTGTTTCTTTTAATGAAACACAAAAACTATACGGATAAGATAACAGTAAGGCCCTGAAAATTAAATCTATTGGGGACCATTATTATTATTATTATTATTATTATTATTATTATTATTATTATTATTATGTATTATTATTATTATTATTATTATTATTTTCTTATAATATCTATAAAATTTAAGTTTCCTTTGCTTTTCACGCTTTAATATGTAGGGGGGCCAGGATTCCAATATAATCTAAGCTAGTCTTTTCACCTTTTATTTTCTTATAATATTTTTAAATATATACTAGTATTAATAACCATGTGCAACATGGATGGTGAGTAAACAAATACATGTATAAAGTTATTTATATCTAATATCAAACCTAACTTCATAGCAAAAATAATATAAAAACAACATCACGAAGCATAGATTTTCGTCATGTCAACATCCGAAGTGTAGAATCTACCACCTAGTAAGAATAATTTAGTAATTTGTTTTGTGGCAAAATGGTAATAATAACTTGAGAAGACCTTAGATAAAAGTTTATATTGATGAAGAATTGTTATCTTTAGTTCCTACACATATTGTGTACTATAAATTCAAGATTGGCCCATTTAAATTAGGCCCAGCAAATCCAAGGCAACAGGACGTATAAAATATTGGCCCATTCAAAATTGTCTAAAACTTTTTGAAGCATGAACTTTGAATTATGAGGACTCAGGAC